AGAAATTGCCTTTTAAACATAATGGTTATCAATAATTAAAGGAAACATCTTACCTCTCTTTGGTAAGAAAATTCAAAGTAATTCAAAAGAAACCGTCGCTTTGGCCTGTTGCAGGATTCTTTTAAAACTCCGTTGCCTTGGAAAGACAAACTGATATTAAGGACTTCTTATGTCTTATGTGAGACCCTGGGTTTATTCAGTTAAAACTTCTTCTGTACTATTATACTATTATATGTAAAGGTAACCATCGGGTGATACTGAATGGCTTCTGGGCCTAAAGTACCACGTGGCCAAAAGATTTCACAATGAAAATAACTTTCGACGGATGTCAGCAAAAGGTAACCATCGGGCGGTACTGAATGGCTTCTGGGCCTAAAGTACCACGTGGCCAAAAGATTTCACAATGAAAATCTCTTTCGACGGATGTCAGCAAAAGGTAACCATCGGGCGGTACTGAATGGCTTCTGGGCCTAAAGTACCACGTGGCCAAAAGATTTCACAATGGAAATCTCTTTCGACGGATGTCAGCAAAAGGTAACCATCGGGTGGTACTGAATGGCTTCTGGGCCTAAAGTACCACGTGGCCAAAAGATTTCACAATGGAAATCTATTTCGACGGATGTCAGCAAAACATTAAAGCGTCCGCTCGTCACGTCGAAAACTCGGGTTCGATTCCCAACACGGGTACAATGTGTGAAGCCCATTGCTGGTGTAACCCGCCGTGATATTGCTGGAATATTGCTAAAAGCGGCGTAAAACCTAACTAACTCACACACGCATTGGTACATGGGAGGTTGTAATACAAAAACACATCCAGCCAGACATTTTATAAACATTTATTTTTGGGTTTTAATTTGTAAAATATGTTTTAGCATAATAAATTGGTACATGCAGTCTGTCATGCACACCTTGAAACAAATATACCCAATAAAATCAATGCAAGTCCAGATAATTACAGTTTCAGATTTCAGAAAATGAAGAAAGTTGTTTATTATGTTTTATGGACATAACTTACGACCCATTTTTTGTGTGTAAAATATGTTCGTTTCGGAGATTAGATATTAAGGATATTTCTGGGAAAAAACACGAACAAATAATTCAATTAATCTCAACATGAAGACGACATGGCGCAAGAATTATCGAAATAAAGTATTTTATTTCAGTGTCTGTTTTCACCGGCATTAAGTGACTGCTGGTCCGAAATATGAACAATGTTTTAGATAGCTATTCCTAACCCATATATATCAATTTCAAGACAGTGATCGGTTCGTCATATCATGTTTGCAAAGATTGATCACAAAGCACTTTCTTGGCGCATCTGAGAGAAGCCATTGTTTACTTGGGGATTCTTGAAGGGTTCAAGTTAATATTGCAAAGTGCCTTTTGTTTTTGTTACATAATGCCGACAGTTGTGGCAGTTATGTCGTTCAATGGCTGCCGTTAAGGTTGACGCCCCACGTGCACCGACTGCGTGACGGAACAAGTGCGTTCCCTTTGTTGTCCAGCTTCTCTGAGAATCAAGGCCAAGGAATATTGTTAACTGCCGTTATAACGAGGCCTTGTCACACAAAGGCCCAAGTATTGACCCATATTGAACGTCAAACGCTCGAGCTGATTCGCGACCTCTCAATCAACACGCGAATTGAGGCCACGTGACCCAATTTATCGGGTAGATCGGCGGGGGAGGACGGGTGCTTGTCATGAAGGCAATTACTGATAGGGCAATATAATCATCATAGTGTGCGCTTGATGTGGCATGTGTACACACGTATAGTGAAGGGCCGCTGGTGAACTCGGGTACGTGAGTGGGGTGTAGGGGTAGAACGGGGTGCTGGGGTGGACGGGGTTTAGGTGTCAGTGTTGGAGGGTGCGGGTTGAACATGTCCAGGGTAATGGGAATATGGAATCGCAATGTTGCAGTGAGTCAGTGTTGGGCAGGTGAAGTACGTCCTACAATAAAGCTGAGGATTATGCTGAATGCGCTGGAGTCGAAGTGTTAGAGTGGTGCAATAAAAATGTGTATCGCATTAGTGTTAACGTGTTGATTCTGGTAGAGTCGAAGTGTTACTTATTTTGGAGTTGAAATGTTAGTGTGGTACAGTTGAAATGTTGACTGCTGTAGAATTGATGTCTTGATTGTGGGAAATTTGAACAGTTGGAGGGCAAGATGCAGAGCTGCCAACCAAATTAAGAGACAAAATAGCTTGAGAAGCACAACGATCTGCGGATAAGTTGTCTGACTCTGGACCGGTGATAAGCATGAGCACAGTACCACGTCATCAGGGCATGTTGACACGTAATGACAAAGCCGGACCACCTAATCCCCTTTGTAGTGACCTCTTACGACAAGCATGAGGTACTGGGGGCCTGTCCTGACCCAAAGTCCCTCGGGGATTTTGTTTCTATTTCCATTTGGGAATACCGATCTTTTCCACATTTTAAAAAAGAGTATCTCAAAGAACACAAGCTTTGAATTAAGATTTAAGTATTTTCTTAGATGTAAGATGTAACTTTCACTAAAAGTAATATGTTTCAAAGATATAAAAAAAACCAGATTAGGACAAAGGGTTAATATAGGATCAACACTATAAACAACCTCCTCCCCCACGCCGCCGAAGAATAGGCAATTTATACAGCTAAAAAATATGAAAAATGGGGAAGGAACCAACACCACAACAAATACACACACGGCCATAGCATCAAGAACATCATCAACCTCCACTCCACCCCACCCCAAACACGCACACAGCACGAACATTACCCAAGCAAACAAATGGAAAGAACAGAAAAAAAATATTCGACGACAATTCTTTTCAGGTATTGTTTAAAAAATACATTATTAAGTAAGTTCCCATTTCATCCACAGACCCTATGCTTAAAAAGATATAATCTAAAAAGAGATCTCAGTTATGGCTACACAGTGCAACTTTATGACATGCTGTATATGTCTTAAGGCATGCAGCCCGAAGACTGCAACATATGTAGAATAACCCCTTAGTACCGTTTGCCAAATCGGCCATTTTCAACACCCACTACACGTGCATGTCGCCAATATGTACATAAACGAAAGCAGGACATTGAATGTAGATGCCAATCACACAATTCAAACACCTGAAGGAAATTGCAGACATTGATTTGTGAATATGAGCAGTGTAAAACTAAATATTATTTCAAGAAACCATTTCCTCCACCTTGAATAGTACCCCAATGCATTTCCTACATTATTATTGATTTACTCCTCGGGTATATAGCATCCTTATCAGCTCGCTGGGTAATCGCTGCTGTCACGTCCAGCATTATAACAGTATAACACGTTGATTTACAAGTGCTGTGTATACAAATTTAACGCCCGACTGATCACGGTTGTAAGTCTGCATTTTAAACTGGGATAAAAATACTCATGTTTATCAAGTTATAGGATATTTTTTATTATAGGATATTTATATTGCGCACATATTCACACAACTAGTACATGCTCAAGGCGCTGTTTTCCCCTCGATCGGGGTACTCAGAGCCTTATTGCTTATTAATGGTATGGGTTTTTTTTGTTTTTTTTGTTGTTGTTTAACGCCCCAGTCAGCACTATTCCATATATATGTAGGCGGTTTGTAAATAATCAAGTCTGGGCCAGACAATCCGATGAGCGATCCTGTGAGAAGCGACGTTGGGGTACGATGACAGGCAAATTAATCAGGTCACCGAGTCTGACAAGTGGGTAACACACTTGTGTACCTTTCAAGATCAAGGAAATGATGTCTTGAAATACTGCTTTGTTTGCACTGCTAACATTTAATCAATGTCTACAGTGTCTTTCTGATAGATGAATTGTGGGATGTGGTCTGAGTAATTTTTGTTGCCAGGTTATTTTACATAATCCTCTGGATATATTATTTTTTAAATAAAAAAAGCATCCCTCCAAATCCTAAATGTGTCGCCTTTTGTAACCTAGCTTCTGGTCCTGGAGTGTATTATGTCTTGCTGGCACTCCCTGACCCCAACACTCCAACAAACATACTCTCTTGCCGTGTTACTTAACATGACGACTCCCCTTTCTCAACAACCCGGACATCGTATACAGCGGATTCTCTGTACATATACAAATGTATATGGTATTTATATAGTCAGTGAATTTTCACTTAGACAATTTACAAAACGCCTATTTTCTTTCGTTCATATAACCATTTGACTGAAAATACTGTCAATATGATACATTAATTTAATGGATTCCTGTAATTTGTATGTTGAATTCCATAATCAGGTGACTAAAAATTATTAAAAGGTTAAAGGCTAATTCTATAATTTATATATACATGTGTATAAAACATCGGTTATAGCATTATTAGTCTGTTTAAAATATTTTGCACTTCTGAATAATGCCATTCTACTTGTCAGTTACACTGACATAATTATCAGTAAATCTGTAAAATGACAATAATATTTACGTATTTTGTGAATTGCTCTCAAATCATAATTTACACCTTAACAGATTAACCGATTTCACGTATATATATCTATATGACTGTACATAACACAATCATATACACGTGACAAGGTCCCGTATTCACATACTTCTCACAAGAATATTATTCGGTAATTTTCCCCATGTCAAACCTGAAATTAGTTGGCCCCATGTCAACTCGGCGCCAACATATGACATTTTTGTTTACATTTTTACCTACACGTGTGACATTGCGGAAATAATTTCCCGCAATATGGGTCAGAGGTCAGCATCGGCTGCTATGCAACTCTGCTGGGGGTAATGAAGCTACTTTGGCGAGCTTCGGTCGATTCATCCGCGAGAAGAAATAGTTCCGCTTTGACGTCATAGTAAGGCATCCATAGCGGTATATTGATGAAGTTATATTACTTGTACATCATATGTACTCAAATAAGACATAATATATTCATACGTTGATATAAAAGGAATGCAACTAAAACTAAACGGAAATAGCGCATGATGACATAAATGACGTCACAAGGTTGTACGGTGAACAAGTACCTGCAAGATGGCGGAGCTGGAGAGTTCCCTAACTGCTATGGACTGGCTCCACCGCCTGCGTGTGGGTGGGGCGATGGGAGGGGCAGGTTTAGGGGGGCCCAACGGTGCCCTCGACCCCCTATCCAAAGCCTCAGGTGGACAACTGGCCATGAGAAAGGGCCCAAATTCACCCTTGGATACGAATGCAACGTACGATAATCAAGGACATCAGATACAAAAAGATGGGAAACCACCTTACAGCTATGCCAATTTGATCACATTCGCAATCAACAGTTCAACTAAAAAGAAAATGACACTAAGCGAGATATATCAGTGGATTTGTGATAATTTTCCTTATTACAAAGATGCAGGGAATGGGTGGAAGGTAAGGATTTTACAGGTGTTTTTATACAGGTAATACAAATGTTTACACACTGGATGTACATCAAACTCGATGTACTGATCCTTTGGAAGTAGAAACTGTGCATTTAAATGTTGCTTTATTGTTACGATTATCGTCAAAACTTGGCAGTATATGTGTATATTAATCAAATTAATGTATCAGATAAATATATTGAGTCGTATTCTCATAGGTAGGCCACTGTACCTAAACCAAGCAAATGAAGCAGAGAAATGTGTTTCCAAATGAGCTGTGACGACAGCACGCGTACGACTTAGTGCTTCAGTACTTCACTTTTGTGTGTTAATTTAGCGGAATATACAGTGATGTAGGGTCCCGTGATATACAGTGCCTGACACCTCTGCCTGATCACTGACTGCCTGGCAGTTAATCAGGTGTATTGTTCCACTTGAGTGATTCAGCATAGAGGTTTTAAGTTTGAACTGAGAAACAAGACATGCATGACAGTTAAGTGTCACTGAAAGCATTTCATTTGATAAGCAGTAGGAATGTGAGATATTACTGCAGGCTAGGTAAATTTTGATATGTCATGCCATGACACAATATTGGGTAAGAGTTCCTTGCGTACCCCCCAACCAAATTGTTTTACAAAATACAAAGATATACAAGTAATGAAAAGTACCTTCTAAAAAAGGCGGGGTGTATGTAAGGAACTCTTTTCCAATATTGTATTCAGATACAAACAGTACTTTCACATATTCAGAGCATCTGTTATTGGTGTTGAATTGAGTTTAATGATATTAAAATTGAGTTTTCTCTCATGCTAGTTTGACTCAAGCTCCTTATTAGTATGATTTGGTAGTTTTTTTATTGATGACAGAATATCACTACATATCATAGCAAGTGTAGATTTTGCTGAAAATATTAATTGATGGTGTCTGTTGTCCAGAATCGATTATTGACAAGCTTAGTTTCACAACATTACTCTATTCAGATACATAATCACTTCAGAATAGCTGTGAATAGTTGCAAAATTGTTGATGTGGCATTAAGCAGTACTTACTCACTCACTCACTTCAGAATAATGCAGACCTAATGGACAGTACAACACAGGAAAATGTTTTCTTGAAGATAATGATGGAGTGGGATGGTACATACCACTCAATTATTGTTTTAAATATGCTGACATAATGTGTTTTTATTGGTAATATTTGTCAATATGATCATGATGATATCAGCACCAAATATAAACAGTCTCAAATTCTCAGCTATATAATGGGAAAAAGATCAAGGGATGACAGTACCTAATTTAAGAGAAAATCTTATGACTGAAAAAACAAATGAGGATATGGGCTGGTATGCACTACTTAAAAGTACATAAAAACTGAAACTACCTTTTATTGCCAATGCTGATTACATGATTAGATGTCAGGTAATATGTTTATCTATATCACATTACACACAAAAAGCTATTGAGCTTACAACATATTCCCATGTTCATGATAACAGTGACCAGACATGTAAATAGTTTACCTTTTATCTGTGGGTTTTGTTACTGATTACTTAAGATATAACAGTCATTGATTTACAGAGGTGTATAATGTGTAGGGCATGCCAGAATCCTTCAATTTGGGGTCTGAATCCCTGTTGGCCCTAAAGAGGTTTCTAGGTTCGTCTGTACCATACCTGGTCTCATCTCCTGCATCACGGGGCGGTGTGCAGCTTAGTGGTTTAAGCGTTTGTTCATTATGCCGAAGACCCGAGTTCGATTCCCCACATGGGTACAATGTGTGAAGTCAATTTCTGGTGTCCCCCGGCATTCTGGTGTCCACCGGGGCGTGGTGGGCGAGCTGGCTAAGGCGCCAGGCTAGTGATCCAGCGAGGTGATGCTGGCATCGAGCCCACTTGTGACCGGGTGTAAAAACCTTGGAGTCAACTTTGTGTGCAGAATCTTTCCGAGTTAGTGTACAGTACACAACCCAGTGCACTTAAAAGAACCCATGAATCGTTGGTATATGACCAGATAGTGGCCACATGAATTCGTGCAAACACCTAGTTGCGGGTACGGCAACGTGCAGTGAACATGGACAAAGTACTGTGACTATGTGTCCCAGTCCACCCAGCTGTGAATGGGCACCTCCTTAGGATGAGAAAGCCACAATAACTCGGTGCGCCTAGTGGCAGCAAGAATTGTATACTCCCCAATGAGTAGAGATTGATAATACGATGTGCCATTGAGATTGACATCCAATGATTGAGGGAAAAAATACCAGCGCCTTGAGCATGCACTAGCTGCTTGGATATGTGCGCTATATAAATATCCTATAATAGTATTATTGCTGGAATATTGCTAAAAGCGGCGTAAAACCTCACTCACACACTTACTCCTGCATCACTCCAGGGTCTTCTCCCTCATTAAACAGACCTGTAGTGGTATAACAGGAATACTTGTTCAAAGCAGCAGGGATTTACCTTGAGTCCTGTATCTGAGGGCCCCTAGGACTCATTCTCTGAATTTTCAGGGGTTCTGGACTACAAAATGGGGGTCCCAGACACTTAGATACTATTATTAATACTGTTATTGTATTGTGTATCATGATCATCACATTAATTGTTACTGTAATTAAATTGCAGATGATACCATAATCCAGCTATTAGCAAACTCTGTGATAACTTATTGTTACTTGATTGGAATTTTTACCAAAAGTATTTGGACTTTTTCTGTGTCCCTGTGGATGCGCTAATAAATTTCGTTGCATCCATTGTCACTTTTTATGTGTATAGGACGCAGGAATTCGCGTCCTGTAAATCCTTGAAAGCAGGGTTAGTTCAATCTTGTTCAGTGCTGTATATCAGATGTTAACAGTTGTCTATACAAACTCAGTTTTGTCTTCATTTAGTTTTGAAAAGTTCCGTTATTTATGTAAACAAAGGTTGCAAGTATTATGGGTAGCGGAAAAGATGAGTAAGGTAAATCTGGAAAAGGGAACGTTGTTAAAGTCTAGAAACTGAAATACATTTCCTCCACTGGAATAAAACTTTGCTGTAGCGATTTAGAAAAAGTTGTGAGTGAGTCATATGGGAAGTCAGGTAATTCTCCACTACTGAATGAAGTTTTAATGTTACTTAGTAATGTATATGTACACATAAAACTGAACTGATTAAAAACTAACTTCAAGGTTTTGGTCTAATTGACAAATTTTTATTGCGAGAGTCTTGTGAACGCAATTGTTTTTGTTCAGATGTTAAATTATCGTTATATATTTCTGTACGTGATTGATGAAACAGATGTTTGCAGTCTGAACTTGTGGACAGAAATCTTTCAGTGTTTTGCAGGATAGAAGATTGGTTGAGGATTAAAAATCATCGGATAAGTACAATTCATCAAAGAACATCTTCATTAATTAAGAACCTACCAGTTATGAGTAGAAATACAAATGTACCTCTCCATTGAAAACCTGTAGAGGCCGTTGCATTAGTCACGCTGAGAGTTATCTAGGGTTCCAAACTAAGTGCCATTTAGTTGCATATGGTGGAAAAAATTCTGAAATATTTGAAGATTTTTTAAGCATATTTTAAAAATCCAGATATATTCACCACTGCATGCAAGTTACGATGAACCATCAGACCTTTCCTAATTATTGATCCTGATAGGAGACAGCTCACCTCTACTATATCATGAGGTGTACATTTCAGATCCTCTTTGGGAGTTTCTTACTTACATTTGCTGCAGATTTTGGCAGATTACCTGTCTCAGAGAGGTTGAGAGAAAACCCTGTTTAGGCATTACTTTCTGAAACAGTATCAAGATGGAAATGTCTACAGCAGATATAACGCTCACTATTTCTTGCCAGCAGGAAATGGAATATATGTGTTCGGAATATAGCAGTAGACATTGATCTGAGCACAAGTCGTAGGAGACAGTTACATAGATTTATCTTTCATCTGTCCCCGAGACCAGACCACTTTTATATTATCTTTTGGTGGGTTTGAAAGTTGCTTTTTACAAAAACCGAAACAAGAAAATGATAAAGCACACAGAAATAAACCAGTTGTTTGGTTAGAAATTAGAAACAAATATGGAGTATTATGATGTGTCTATGTTTGAATGTCAGCGTAACAACAACTAGCCAATGAGGCGGCTTCTTACTGTCTTGTCTTCTGTGTGTTTTATGATAGTGATGGGAGCAGCCATGACATTATCTACATTAAGAACAATCCTGCTATTTATTTGATATTAAAACTTTCATACCCTCTTAAGTGTAATAAGTAAGAAGAAAGAAGTGGATATTACAACCCTCCTCTCCTGCATTTTTGAAACAAACATTATGTCAGAAAGAAAGTGGATCGGCATGTTGGCGAACCTTTACAAGTGTACATTCAGCACCCATGATGAAGATGAAACGTGTGAAGTGAAATGGTAGCTATACTTAAGCAACTTCTTTCTCCAGGTAATATTTTGTGTCATAAATGCATAAGAAATTCTGTGATGATTAGACTGACTGACTGAGTTTGGTTTTACGCCGCTTTTAGCAATATTCCAGCAACATCATGGCGGGGGACACCTAAAATAGGCTTCACACATTGTGCCCATGTGGGGATTCGAACCCGGGTCTTCGGGGTGACGAGCCAACGCTTGAACCATTAGGCTACCCCACCGCCCCTGTGATGATTAGAACAGTTCCTGACTTCACATACCCCGATATCCAAAGTGACTGAATGGATGGGGAAGCCTTTCCTGGTTGATTTGAGTGTCAGGTCACCCGACAATATTTGGGATGAAACGGTATACCACAGTGTTAGTAAAACCACGGTATTTTCCCTCGGTTTGGTATAACATAATGCAATAAAAAAATTCGGTATTTTCAGTTTTCATATTGTCATTTTATTAACCTTTTTAAAAATGTCTAGAAATCGAATCATTTTGTCGAAATCTATGCATTTGAGTTAATTCTCATATACCCAACTGAAACGGACCAAACCGAAGACCTTGTACTGCAGTATGTACCGAACTGTGATAAGAG